AAGTCGGCACTTGATCATGGACCGCGTGGCGTCCAACGGCCATGTCGGCGTGCTTGCCTTCCTCCACGAGATGGAGTGCAGCGGGATCTCGTCGGCGGCGCTGGAAGGCGCGATGAAGCACCACCATCTCGACACGATCGCGTTCCTCTTTAAGCACTTTCCGCACTTGGCGATCCCGGAGAAAGCCACGTTGTATGCAGCGCGCTATGGCCACCTCGGGCTTCTCCGGTATCTCGTCACGCAACGCCAAGCGCCATGCCCACCGCGCGTGATGGACGTCGCCGCGTACAAGGGCCACCGCCACATTGTCAAGTTCTTGCACAAGCAACAGACAGGCTGCACCACGATGGCGATGGACGCCGCCGCCTGCGCGGGCCACCTCGACATTGTCAAGTTTCTCCATTTCAACCGGACCGAAGGCTGCACGACCCTGGCATTTGACGCGGCCGCGGTCCACGGCAACCGACCGCTCCTCGACTTTCTCATCGAACACCGCCGCGAGGGCGGGTCGACGATGGCCATGGATGGCGCGGCGTATGAGGGCAACGAAGCCATGGTGCGCTTCTTGCATAAGCATCGACACGAAGGCTGCACGACGCGCGCCATCGACTTTGCCGCAGATCGAGGCCACTTGGGCATCGTCCAATTTCTCCTTGCGGAACGCTCCGAGGGGTTTACATAAAGCGGCATGATTTTCGCGGCCTCGTGCGACCGAAGCGAGGTCCTCGCGTGCCTCTTGGAGCACGACGTCACCAAGGCAAAGGCCGTCCAAGCGCTGAAAAAAGTCATCCCCCACGAGTGTTTTCGGGAGGAGGCGCTGCCGAAATTCAAGGCGGTGGGCTTTCCGCGCACCCAACATTTGATTCCTGAAACACTGGCAGACGACAACGACGCGACGGCGGCGGCACTTGCTCTCTACGACGACGACGACGAGGCCGACGACTCGGGCTACGAGTCGGACGAAATGTGGATGCTTCAGCGCGTGTACCATCCCATGCAAAACGATTAGATACAGAACGTGGTTCATTTAATGAAGCTCAACCGTGGGTAAAAGGTGCTTAATGTGTGGTTTTAGTTGGTGTAGGTTAATCGCCGCAATATGTACGATGTCTACCAACAATTTGGATGCATCCCATGCAAAACGAATAGAGACAGAACGTTGTTTCCATTTGCGGGTACGCGTGATCCTAGTTGAAGCCACAACAAAATGTGAGAATGTTCTTGGCCAACCACGGACACTGCCCTTGACTTGGCTGAAGTTTTACTCACTGGGTTTCCCTGCGTCGTTCCTACCATGCTTAAATGTGGCATTCCAAACGTATTAGTGGCATATGCCTAAAATAAGCTATATGGCAAATAACTTTAGCAGTGCTCAAGTTTCGAGCACGCGGTATAGCATTTCATGTTCTCCAAGGTGTCTACTATCAACAGACCAAGTATAAGCGAATCGAGTTTCGACTCCAATTTGCGAGCCCAGCGCTCTGGATCGCGAAAGGCGTATCTCGGATCATCTCGGATTGGCTTAAAAGATTTCTCGGACAGCCAATCAGAGGCTTGGAAATAAAATGTCGACTGCAGAACTGTGGGCGCAACGACGTTGGATGCCTGCACCCCATGCCTGCACCCGATGCAGGGCAAAAAGAATCTGTCTGGCCAAATAGAAAGTAATAATATTAGTCGTCGTCGTTTGGTCTACAACTGGATCTCTTTGAGCCTGACTGCGATTTCGTAGGCGGTGGGGCGATTGGCCGCGTCGTGGGCCAAGCACATGAGCGCAAGGTCTCGGATGGACGCGGGGCATGACGTCGAAAACTCGGGCCGCAGCGCACCGTTGAGAACGGCTCCGATGATGGCCGTGTCGACCAGCGGGAGGCCTGTTTTGGTATTTTTCACATTCTGGTACGGAATGTGGTGCGCGTCAAATTCTGAGAGCACCATCCCTACGCATCTCATCCTTGAGATCATTTGCGACACCATCAATAATCCATGTACCAAACGAGTAAATGTCGGCGGCGACGCTGTAGTAGCTGTCTTGGAGCACCTCGGGGGCCATCCATCGAAAGGTACCGACGCCCGTGGTCATGGTCGCGTGCGTGTCTTCGCGCGAGACCCCAAAATCAACGATTTTGGTGCCTTTTTTCGAGTCGAGAAGCACATTTCGGGACTTGAGATCACGATGAATAATGTTGAGCGAATGCAAGTACACCAGTGCATTGGCAATCGCTTGGATCGCAGCGAGTTTCTGGCTCCACGGATACGAGCTGGGTGAATGGTGCACCAAGTAGTCTTTGAGGTCGCCGAGGTTCATGAGTTCCATGATGCATTTGAGGTCCGACGGGCGATGCCACGTCGCACCGAGGACACGAACAATGTAAGGCGAGTCAAAGCTAGACAAAAAAGCGAAATGAGACAGGTAAAAAGTGATATGACAATACCTGGCCATAAGTGCAATCTCGTGCACAAAATCTTGAATGCCTTGGTTTGTCGCGCGGTTGGAGAGGAGCGTCTTGACCGCGACGGGTTGCGACTGGAACGAGGCTCGCCACACTTCAGCGTACGCGCCACAGCCAATGAGTTGCTCGAGCGACAAAAGCGAGCCGTCCAACGCGAGCTTGTAAATCGCGTCAAACGAGAGCGCCAATGACGCACTCTCGCCCTGGCTGTGACGCGATGTGGTACCCTGGGAGGTCGACGTGCCTTTGGATTTGGCAGCTTTGATGCGGCGCAAGAGGCAGAGACCGACGAGACCGACAAGAACGACGACGGCGGCCGTGCACACAAGGATGATGGTCGTGTCTACCGTCAAGAAAGTTGTCAACAAATGCCATCGCAAGACAAAACACATATAACAAGTACATACAGTTGGTCGCTTCGTCGGTCGATGTTGGGGTGGGTGGCGTTGATGGGCGCGGCGGTGGCACGAGCGTGGCTGGTGTCACCGTCGCATTGGTGACCCGTCGAAGGTCGTACGATAGAATGCGAGCGTCCCACGTCGCAAGCGCGTCTGCGTCGGCGGCAAACGACGTCGACTTGCCCGATTGGTCAGGTCCGTCGTACGCGACAAAGAGGTATCCCGGGGTGACCTTGATGGACATGACGGCGCGCGCCAGTGGCGAGTTGAACGTGGCCTTGCCGAGGTGCAGCGACCGCCGTTGCCCGGAAAAATTGCTCGCTTGGTAGACATTGACGACGTTTTGGAGGTTGTTGGGCGACAGCAAGAGGTCGTTCGTGGCGCTGCGAACCTTGAACGACAGGATGCGCGACAACCAAAGCGATCCGAGCGACGGCGCGTCTTCATCCCAGACCATGTAGTAGCCCTGAAACGCCGGTGCGTCGTAGCCCACGACCTCGTACCCTGGCGCGATACGCAACGACGCAATACCGAGCGACCACGGCAGGCTCGCGTTGCCGCTAAAGACGTCCAGGTCGAGCGACAAGCCGCTGTAGTTGGCCTCGAGGTAGATGGTCGCAATGGCCGCGGCGACGGGCGAGACAACGACCGCGAGCGAGAGGCCGACGACGACAACGGCGACGGCCATAGCAAGTTGCAAAATGCCTGCTTCTAGTCAGCGTGGATGAAGGACACGTCGTCGCCGTCGCTGTCTGCGATACGCTGCCAGCATTGGCCGCGACTCTGGCATCTCACGAAATGGAAAACGCAACCAGGTGGTCAACCCGATCCCATGACGAGCATTCTCCATACTGTCTCATTTTTGCGTGCGAGAGAGCGGTGCACAAGGCATCGGACTCCATGCATGTACATGTACGACATTCGAATAAGGTTCAAATGGGCGCATCTATGTTACCGAAGTCTATAATATGGACTACTGGAGAGAGTGCGGGCCCAATCAAAATGTCCACTGCTCTCTGCGGCAACAGATGGCTTGTACAGACAAAGCCCTTTCGCTACGCAGCAGCTGTGGATCTATCAGGGCATGCTATCAGGGATTGAATTGCGTGGGTGTAACTCGTGAGCTACCTAAATAGGGTATGGCGAGCGGCGCGCTCAAGACCATGCCCAATGTACAGCGGATTGAGACGAAATGGATAAATAGGCTGTAACGGCTGTTGCCGCGAAACCGTCGGCGTCGCGTTTCGTGACACAAAATTAAATCTCAAAATTAAATCTCAAAATTACGTCTTAATCTGAAATTGTGTCTTGGCACAACCCGGAGCTAAATACTGTACTCGTTGATATGTACTATATGTAGTACTTTGTAGAGACTAACTAGAAGTGACAAACGGCTATCGGTGGCATCAATGCGGTTCGCTGCCCTAGAGAGACGTTCCTCCATGGTCGCGACGGTCGTGTGACGCGTCGCATCTCATGTGCCCTTTGCTTCTGGCGCGTCATCGGTTCGACACGGCGAACGGACGATGCTACGAGGTCATCGATATACCGGTATCGTTCTGTGGCGCGACTCCAGGCAAGAACTTGCAGTGGTGCCGGATCCAGGAGGCTGCACAGGCTGGAGGTTCGATGGTTGATTTCGCAAGCCGGAGGTCCATTCGAGGGGCCCAACCGCCCTCGCGGTATAGAAAATGTGGACCGGCAAAGTGGGCAATGCATCTCACTGACTGCATCTTATGTTATCCCTCTCTACAAGAGACGAGCGAGGACAAGACTCAACACCAGCGGCATAGAGAAGTTTGGTGCAGACGCGGCTGGCATGCTACCGGGCTTGGCCGTCGTGCGGGATGGCGACGGCGTCACATTGCCGCCGCCGTTGTCACCGGGCGCAGCCGTGCTGGTCGGGATCGAGCGATCGTAGAAGCGCTGAGCGTACTCCTTGAAAGACCACGTACTGATCTCGGCCGTCGAGAACGAGAGCGAGTAAAATTGCACTTGGCACGGCGGCGTGATCGTGGCCCAGGCTGTCTTCTCGGTCGTGACGAGAGCCGCGCAGTCGGAACTGTCGAGAAACGCTGCAAACTGCATGTCCGTCAGCTTGACCATGGATGTACTGTTGTAGAGGTATATGTATTGGACAGGAATGCTGCCCACATCCATCGCACAACGCTCCGCGAGCCGCGTGCGCTCCCTCGCAACGGACCTAAAGGCGGCGGTCCTCTCGGCCTCCGTGCACGCTGCAGCGTCCACGCGCGGTGAGAGACAGAGCACTGCGAGTACCAGATAGAAAAACCAGCGCATCGTTTGCTCGTTTGAATACCGAAGTGCGCTTTGCGTTGGTCGGTGCGAGCCAGGGTGCGAGCGCATCTTCTTCAACTAGCTGGTTGTCACCGCGCTCGTTGATTGGCTAAAAATATTGGTTTCGTGTCGCTGGATTGGTGGACGACGAGGAAATCGAGGGCTGGGCTCTGTGGTCAGTGGTGCGTTCAGTCTTCGCTGCGGCGTGGTGTCCACCAAGTGATAGTGTATATTGTCGGTTGGCATGGTGACGCGTTGGACTATCTTGCAGTGCGTTTGTTTCACTATACCAACCGTCCACACTACCGTCCACGTTGCAAGCCAGGTGCCAAGGATGATCGATGCGGCAGACAACAGAGGGCATTGAATAAATAATGGAGCAGGCACGGTTGATGTACTGTAGTACGATGCACCAATCGATATCACTTGGAGAGGGCGAGAAGCTTCGAGGCGCGACGAACGGCTTCGATGTTGGGCAGATACAGTATCCAGAGAATTGTGTTTGCTCTCGCTGGTGTAGCAGGTTGTATAACTGACTTGGAGGAGCAGCTTCAAAACAGGAAAACATGCCATGCATTTGTGGTCGCCACCACGAAGCGCATGGGCGTGTCGTTATTGTTGAAGTGGGTCGTCTATTACAATAGATAAAACTATGCTAAATAAAATTGTCGGACTTTCTTCGTTGTGTGTACTCGGTTGAGGGGGAGGCAGGAGCGCGATCCGCGGGACGAGGTGACGTCGCGGCCACTCGTGTTGGGCGAGGAGCCGGAGACGTCGACGAAGAGCAGGTTGCTCGGGCTCTTGAACGAAGCTGTGGTGCAAGTGCAGTTGAGCGACGCGTGCCGCCTTGACGGCAATCGTCCATGGACTTGGCAGCGGTAGGTCGGCGCGAAAGACGCGATCGTTCCGGACTCGCCAGACGTTGAACCAGACGTCCATGGGCGTGTCGTCGTGGGCCTTCACAATTGACTCTTCAGATGAGCTCGACGAGCCCCTCCCGCGCACCCACTGCCCGGCGACGCAGTCACGACGACAGAGATGACCAGTTTCTGCATAGTCTCCGCACCCTTTGACCCTAAAGATACTATAGTAGCACACAACACGTTCCTAGACACAGCACACCCAGCGCCGCGTTCAAAAATGGTCCACTTGGTCACGACCATTCATGATCGCGACAACTATCTTCAACTAAAATCCCAAGCAGACATGGCGACAAGAGCGAGCAAGACGCTCGTTCGGTGTCGGGCAGCGGTCTTGACTATTCTCAAGAGCCCTGGCTGGGATGCATGGACCGACAACTTGAAAAATGCACATCTTCCATCATCCTCCAGATATGGCATCTACATTACACAAGCTGCGAGGGCAAGACTAAGCACGAACGAGAGTCCAGTGCGAGGTAGGGCCGAGGACCCCATCATGACCCCGGGTTTTGCCGTCGTGCGGGATGGCGACGGCGTCACATTGCCGCTGCTGCTGCCACCGGGTGGGGCATTCGTGGTCGGGATCGAGCGATCGTAGAAGCGCTGGGCGTACTCCTTGAAAGACCACGTACTGATCTCGGCCGTCGAGAATAAGAGCGAGTGGAATTGGAGTTGGCACGGCGGCGTGATCGTGGCCCACGCCTTTTTCTCGGTCGTGATTGCAGCCGCGCAGTCGGAACTGAGAAGAAACGCTGCAAACTGCGCGTCGGTGATCTTGGCCTTGAGCGTGCTGTTGTAGAGGTACTGGGTGGGAATGCTGCCCATGTCGATGGCACAGCGATCGAGAAGGCGCGTGCGCTCCTTGTCGACGGGCGTAAAGGCGGCGACGATGACACTGTCAGCGCACTCGCTCGTTGCTGGTATGGCCGTTTTTGGCGTTCGCGTCACTGGTGTCGATGATGGAAGAAGGGTGATCGTCGCGGCGAATTGCTCAAACGACACTCCTTGATACTGCGATGCGCACGGAAGCGAGCCCGTCGCCAATTGATACATGGCGAAGACCGTGTGGCAGTTGCCGCTCTTGAGAAAGGCGGTCACTTGCGCCGGCGTCATGGACGACGAGAGAAATTTCCCAGCGAGGAGGTCGGCGTGCGTGTAGCCCATGTCGTTGGCGCAGAGTGTAATCGCGTCTGTGATCGAGCCTGCGTATCGTGCGAGGGCGGCGGTGATCTCGACGTCCGTGCATTTTGCAGCGTCAACGCGCAGCGAGAGACACAGCGCTGCAAGAAGCAGGTAGCTATACCAGCGCATGGCTCGCTCCAAAGCAAAAGTGACGTCCCATGTTGCCTGTACGAGCGCATCTTCTTCAACAAGTAGCTTTCGGCCGTGACGGCGGTCATTGATTGGCTAAATTGATTCGGTCAGTGCCGTTGGATTCGTGGAGGACGAGGAATTGGACGTTTGGGCTCCGTGGTCAGTGGTGCGTCCAGGGCAGAGGGGCATCTGCGCCATAAATACGTGTCCACCATGTGGTACATATTGTCCATTGCCATGGCGACGCGTGTGACGATATCGCAGTGTGTGTGTTTCACTATATCAACCGTCGACGATTTTCCCATACCAGCGGTGGCAACGGCGAGGGACGATCGGGGCGAGGTCAACCGTGGGCCACAAATGGAGCAGGCACGGTAGCAGTAGGTCGATGCACCAATCAATCACGTGGAAAGGGCGACACGCTTCGAGGCGCGACGATCGGCTTCGATGGTGGACAGCAACTTGTTTTTCATCTCGAGTTTGCTTCAGCAGAATCTCGTTGGTGTATTCGTTTTCGCCAAGACCCAGCTCACGGAGCGAGTCGTCAAGGCCCTCATGTGGCCCTTCGGGAGTGGCCACCCGCACCCGCTGGCGACTAGAAAAGCGCAATTCGAGCCCTTGCGAGCGAGTAAACAAGACGGAGATTGCTCGTCTCAATTCCCTTGGCGAGTCTCTACGTCGGCATAACCTGGATTCATGCATCGACGTCATGACACACCCTGGCCAGCTCCAACGCTCCCCGCGCCTCGTTGACGAACATGGTGGAAAACGGTTCATACCCAAAGCAACGAAGCTTTAGCAACCCCATGCAGCCAAGGCAAGGACGACAAGAGCGCTCGTCGTTTCGTATCGTGCAGCGGTCGACTGGGCAACTGGCCGTGGCGCCGCGGTCGTGCTTGTACTGGTGCGTGGCACCTCGGTGGTGCTTCTCGGCGCCGGCGACGTCGTCGAGGGGATGCTACGTTCGTAGAAGCGCTCGGCGTACTCGGTAAATGTCCACGCGCTAATCTCTTTTGTCGTGAAGGCCAGCGCACCGTCGTAGAGGACGCAGGGCGGCTCGATTGCGCCCCACGCCTTCTTCTCGACCGCGATGGCCGCCGCGCAGTCGGAACTGGCTAAAAAGGCCGTAAACTGTGTGTCCGTGATTTTGTGCTTGAGCGTATTGTTGTAGAGGTACGCGACCGGGATGTCTCCCATGTCGATCGCACAGCGCGAGAGGAACCGCGATCGCTCGGCCTCAATGGCTGCAAATGCCGCTATGGCGCTTTGGTCGGTGCAGTTGGCCGTGCTGGGCTTGACCGTCGTGGGCGTCGTCGGGGTTGCGGCACTAGACGGGAGCAGCGTGGCGGCGTACTGCTCAAACGTGACGCCTTGGTAGCCTGTCGAGCATTCCATGTTGCTCGTGGCTTTTTTGATACAAAACGAAGAGTGCGCGGCAGTTGACGCTTTTCAGAAAGGCCGTGACCCGCGCCGGCGTCGTCGTCGACGGCGTGAAAAAAGTCGCCGTTGGCGATCGCAGCCGTCGAGTAGCCCACGTCGCTGCCGCAGAGCGCGAGGTTGAGCGCGAGCTCGGCCTTGTATGGCACGAGGGCCGCCGCCGTCTCGTCGTCAGTGCAGGCAGCGGCCTCGACGACCGGCGACGACCGGCGCGAGGCAGAGAAGCAGCAAGTGGACCCAACGCATGACGCAAAAGCGGATCTGACATTGCACGTTCTGGCCATGCCACGCTACTCGTTGAAGTTGACGTTGGATTTGACGGCATGTGATTGGCTAAAATGATGCCTTTTGCAAGTTGGATGGGGTGATTTGGTGCGCGGTGAGTGGGATCCAAACACGGCGATGGTGCATGGGCATAAATCCGTGTTGTGTCTCCAACTCAATGGTCCTGGTACACTTGTGTTTTTAATCGAACCACGTGTGGGAGGACTGCATCCGTCGGTCGATTATCTGGGTTCTTCATCGCTATAGAAAGACATGCCTGCCACTAATGCGTGGTAGCTTTTGCCGTAAGCTTCTTCGACGCGCGATGGCCATTTGTTCGATGCACGTCCTCGGCAATTTCTTGGAACGTTGTGGTCGACATGGTCGAAATCGTGCACGGAGATTTGCTATGGCTACTCGGTGCACTGAGGCGAGAGCCATTATTGCCCTAACGACTGGCCGCCACCGCGGGATGGATTTCTCCGTGCACAACGCACTCCCAACAACCAAGTGCAGGTGCCAACTCCGACACATTCAGGCGTAGCGCTATGTATGCAAAGTATTTTAGTTGGTTTGTGCTCATTTAATTTCAACGCGAACACATTAGACTGATTGATTGATTGATTGATTGATTGACGCCGCTTTTCTCCACGCGAGAAAGACCCGAGCGGTTGCTGCTCTTGAGACAGGCGTCGTGCTGGCAATTGGGCGGGATGGGCGGGACGACGAAACGCTATCAGAGGTGCAACCACCGCTCGCCATGATGTGGGCAAGAGACATCGTCCGTGCCAAGGGTACCCCTGGTCCGTGCAGCCAAGGAATCTTCAAGCTGCCAGAGTCTCGGCCATCTTCGTTGCACTGTGGTGACGGCGGTGCATCATTCTTGACACCATTGCCAGTGGCCACATAACTACGGGTCGTCTTACGCGCCGTTTCGAGATTTCGAGATGATGGGATCGCCATGACGAGATCGGCTCGTCTCAGGTGTCGACATTCATGGATGCAACACCGACATTGCAGGTCCTTCGTTGTCCAGAAAGGAAGACTCGTGCGTGGGTGTACATGCACTATAGAACGAATACGGCCCACGCAGTTTGGTAACACGTACTGGAAAAAGCCTCGACGTGCGCCAAAAAGAGATAGCAACCGTTTCAACTCATGCTGCACCCGATCCGTCGTTGAAACCAAAACACCCCTTCGCCTGTAAAATCAACTGGAAAGTTGTGTCCATCGCCACGTCCAAGCCTGAACGCGACGGCTGGTTCACGCCCGACGCGGTGCCTAGACGGCAGCCAATGATATATCGACATCGACCCGTCATGTTGCTCATGATATAAGTTAAAAAGTGCACGATGGTTTTGGATACGATAGATTTTCACAGCCATGAAACCGATGCGTGGAGAAACCTGTTTTCAAGGAGCGACACAACGCGACGACGCGTAAAGAGATCAGAATGCTGCCGCTGACGCCGGATGGTCCCACGTCGTACGGTGTCCGTGTCAAGCCACCGAGTGCGCGCTTGGCAACGCTTATGCGGCAGTTGGACCTACTCCTCGGTCTTGTCGTCGTTTTACTTGTTGCGATCGACACCGTCACCAACAACTGGGCCCTCAACGACTATATCGGTGACGCATACGCGTTCTTGACACCCATCGCGGCGGTCTCGCACGCGGTGGATCTCGAGGCCCAGTACAGCTTTCCAAGCACGAGTGGATTGGACGACTTGTCCAAAATCGGGTTTTGGATGGTCAACTACACCGTGCACGCGATGGTGACCAAGAGCTCGGATCTCTACTTCATCTCGGTCGGGTCGTTTCCGCTCTCGACTAGCATCGACCAGTGCGAGCTTCTAGTGGCCACGTACCCCTTTGACATTGCTGCGTCGTCGACCGCATACCTCGGTGTCGCTTCCAACACGGTGACGTACTACAAGGGCAGTGCGCTCTCCCACCTCTTCACAACCGAGATGATGGCCAATGCGAGTATGCAAGACGATGTGCTTCAGAGCCTCGGGTACGCACCGGGTCGCACGGGCACCGACCTGCGTCTCACCACTGGTATTCCGATCGCCAACCATTCGCGCCTCCAGCCGTCCCGCATTGATTTTTTCAAGCTGTTTCCAAAGAGCTTTTGTACCGGGTGCAGTCCAGTTCCAGAGCTCGGATTTGGCCATTGTCGCGCGACCATGCTGTACGACGACATGGCCAAGACGCTCCAGATTGTCAGCAGCGTCAACGACGTCGGGTCCGTCTACAAGGTCGGCTTGTTGTTGCCGCAGTCGGCGTTTTCGTCGGCGTCCCATTACATCAAAGCCATGGCGATCGTGTTTGCAGTCGGCGGGTATCTGGCGAGCCGTCGCACCGTCCAATGGGCCGATTTCGATAGTTCCAAAATCGACTCGATTGTGGCCAAGATGTTGCGGACCGTGTCACCCAAGTACTTTCCGTACCCGAGTTTGGCGCTCCGCTTCGACATGTTTTGCTACAATTCCGACTTGTTTGTCTTTTTGTTTGCGGCCGGCGTGCTTCTCGACATGGGCAACTGCCTCTATTTTCTGCGCGTCATGAATGTGTACAACTCGGACGCGCCGTCGTTTGGGTACATGCTACAAACGTATGCACTCACGATGCGTTTTCTGTGGATCAACTGCGCGGTCCTCAAGCTGCTCAAGATCGTCTGGAACCTTGTTTCGACCGCGTCGTACAATGGCGAAAGCTCGGTACTATTCAGTCGCACGTGATAGAGATACATGCGACATCTCAGCAAGAACTTCCGTGTAGATCATGGGGTACCTCAATTTTACAAGTGTCACGTCGCTGTATGCAAGTGCCATTATGCTCGCGTACGTCCCGCCGTACATTGAGTACACCAACAGCGTCAGCCATGACCTCAACCAGAAGATTCAGAGCCTCGATGCTATCCATGTCATCGCGTTTGAGAGCTTTTACCTCCGCGCCGTGCCCGCGGTCACGGTGCTCTTTGCCGTCAACCTCGGCGTTATCTTGGCGGCCGACCACCTTTTCTACTACAAGTCGTGGCAGCTCCTGGCCAAGAATTCGCTCGCGCGCCAAGCTCTCTTCAACAGCAGCTCCATCTTGTGCGACTACCTCAGCGGCATCGAGCCCGATCATGGCGCCGACAGCAAGGGCTCGCTGCTCGTCTGCAAGGCGCGTCGCCTCAGTACGCTGCAATGGTTTTTCATGAACCATGTTACATGTTTTGGGCTTCCCGAGAAGGAGCTCCAGGGAAAGAAAAAACGCATCAAACCTTGGTGCTCTCGTCGGCCACGACGGCCACCGGCTCGGAAGATTCGACAAGAGTCAACAAGTGCATGGTGGTGCAAGACGGCGACCGTAACGTGCACTTGCTCGACGCGCAGTTCGCGGATGTCACGCCCCTCGTGTACAATATCAAAATCCTCAAGGACACGACCGTCGTGCTGCACTAGGATATGATTGGATACAACAGAAAATTCGAAGCCGTTTGTACGTTTTTGATTGGCTGGTGGACTTTTCGAGCGAGGATCGATTTTCGAGCCTGCGTGACGATCGATGTGGCAGTCGCTCGTGGCGCGACGACGCTTGAAGCAACGACCGCCAACGTCTTTCGATGGAATAAGCTATAAGCATGCGAAGAGGCTTCTTCGCATGCGCCAACGCGGTTGGCGAGAACTTGGGCGCCGTTTGTTGGACGCCAACGCCACCCGAATTCTCCGCCGGCATGTCGGTGGACACGAATAGAGACACATCGGTACAGGCTCCATGGTACACAAATCCCATCCGGCACAGGTCGTCCCTCCTGCTATTATCGAGCGAGTTGCCCAGTACGTGTCGTCATCGACAGCATTGTTTACGCTGCTTCGCGCCGTGGGGGCTTCCCATTGGACGACACCGCTGCACTGCGCGATGTATCTTGCGACGTGTATGGCAGAAGACGCTCTATGGCCGCACGTCTCGCTCGATGACGTTGCCCGCGCACAGCCCGATGTACGATCCATTGCCGGGTTTTTGCGTTGGCACCCGTCGTGTCGCCTCGAGCAAGGCAGTCTGTCGCTGCTCACCCGCCTCCCACCTTCTTTGCAGCCACTGGAAACACTACTTCGATCGTCCGTGCGGCTGCAGCTGAACCTTGAGAGCGTGACCGTCTCGCAGGTACACCACGTGCTGCTGCACCATGGGCACCGTGTCCAGTCGCTCGTGCTATGTTTGAACGAGCCTCCCAATGTACCGCTGACGGCACTGACGCTGGGTCGATTGGCCACGGCGATTGGTCACTGCGTGCACGCGACCAAGTTGCATGTCCACGTCCACCACCCGCAATGGCGGGGCCGCGACATTGACCCGATCTTGCACCGCCTCCAAGACTCGAACGTTGTCGACTTTAAGCTGCACGCGACTTCGTACAGCGGCGATCTCTTGTCCGACAGTGGCAGCTACGCGCTCATCGCGTGGCTCTTTCAAGTGCCCGTGACGTCGTTTGCTTGGATCGACCCCGAGCCGTACCACAGCGCTGTACTCTCACCGGCCGCGACGCGGCTCGCCGCGGCCCTCGCGGCCTCCCGCACATTGCGAACCATTGACCTATCGCAGTCCAAAATGCTCTTGGAAGCATGTGTGCAACGACCACTGCCACGCACGCTGCGCACGCTCCGCATCGAGTACCCGCACGCGCCAACGTCGTACACGACGCAACTGAAAGCGCAGCTGGCGGCCGCTCGCATCACGTCGCTCGACCTGTCGTGGCACCCCAGCACAAGCGTGGTGACACTTCTCGGTCCTAACTTGGCGCAGCTCACGACGCTCAACTTGTCGCACTGCTACCTCATGATCCACGGTAGCCGCGCGGTTGGTCCGCTCCTCCCGACACTACGCGCGCTGCAGCACCTCATCTTGTCGGCCAACGATTTGTTTGACGACGGTATCACGGCCATCTTGCCGGGTCTCGTCGGCTGCAGCGCACTCGAGTCGCTGCGCTTGGATCGCAACCAGCTCACGGATCGAAGCTTGGCCGCGACCGTGAAGACGTGCCGCCTGTGCAAGCGACTCCGCCATATCGACTTGTCGGACAACCTGTACACGGACGAGACGGTGCTGCGACTGCACAAGAAGCCGACGGTCATCTCCCGTCTGTGTGCGATCAAGTGTCCCGATGCAAGCGCAATGATACCAACCGTAGCCGCTGGGTAACTCGGTGTCACAACGAACCTGTATGAGCTGTTGTCGTCATCGTTGAAGCGATTGGGTTGTGTTGTTGGAGCTATCACTCGGTGAGTGGGATGCGCCACAGGAAATGGATCTTTCCGTGCGCAGCTCATTCCCAACTCGCACGTGCAGGTGCCAACTCCCACGCATATTCCAGCGTGACGAATGCGAAATCTGATAGAGTTCGTTTTCGCTCATTTGATTTGAACGCGGAACATGTTGGATAGATAGATATCAAGTAGTAAATGTACGTCTGCAGTCTCGGTGTGCAATGAGACAAAGCCAGAGGCAATACCAGACAGGTTGAGGGAAAAGGTTGCGCGTACGTCGACCTACCACCATACAGTGAGGAACGCGTGTGATCGGACTTTGACGAGTTATTACCAAGGCTCATAATTTTATGGTTTTAATACTTGAATATCCTTTCTGTGGGCTCTCTCACTTCAACTATACTAGTACCGACAAATTCAAGACGGGAAATGTATATTAGCAGGCATTCCATACAAGAAACAGCAAGTTGGACGTAGACAGACTCGGGATACAGGGAAGCGCAGTCATGGATCAACTAGGCGTAGCACGCGCGCCGGGCCGAACCACCGGCCACAAACGTGCCCGAGACAGCGCTGCTCAAGGGCGTGAGGTTGGTCAAGACCGACTTGAGCCAGCATGTCTTGTCGTGGAGCACGAAACCGAGGCAGCCCGTGGTCTTGGTGCACGCATCACAGCACGTGTTGGTCTGGTCCTGGCGCGTGCCGTTGATGGCAAAGCTCACGATGTCGTTGCCGGGGTAGTTGACGCCGGTGGTGACGGCGCCGCAGACCTGCGACGTGGGCACTTGGAGGGGTGCCGTGCCGGCCATGGCGCCAACCATGGGGCCCGACCGCACCATCTTGTGCTTGAGCCAGCACAGGTTTGCGTGGGTGACAAAGCCGGCACAACTGTCGAGCGCCGAACATGCGTCGCAGCACTGGTTGGTCTGGTCTTGCGGCGAGCCCGTCACGGCAAAGTTCTTGATGTCGTTGAAGGCGTAGTCGACGTCCTGAACGAGGTTGCCGCAGGTGCCCGACGAGATTGCCGGCTGCACATACTGGCCAGAGAGTGCGGTCGGAAGCGCATTGGCCGCACCCAGCTTATGCTTGAGCCAACACGTGTTGCTGTAGACGATCCAGCCGACGCAGCTGATGGTGTTGGAGCACACCGTGCAGCACTTGTCGGTCTGGTCTTGCTCCGTGCCAGATACACCGAAGCTACGGATGTCGTTGCCGGGGTAGTCGGTGCCACGTGTGATCGCCGAGCAGGTGTCGGACGTCGGGAGCGGTGCAGCGTACGGTCCCAGGCGAGCGCCGGTCGGGAGCGGGCTGGCGTTAGCCATCTTGCTCTTGAGCCAGCACGTGCTGCTGTGGGTGATCCAG